AGAAATATTGGCTTCCTCAAGGTCGTCAAACTGCCAAATCAATCACTAAGTTCTGTGTAATCTGCAAAAGATACGACGCTCGAGTGTATCCTTACCCAGGACCTCAACCACTCCCTAAGGAGAGAGTAGTTCATCTTCGTCCCTTTGAGACCACTGGTGTCGATTACACAGGAGCCTTCCTTCTCACTGGCAATCCAGATAAGATACCAGTGAAAGCTTATATTTGCCTCTTCACGTGTGCTACCACACGAGGCGTACATCTAGAAGTGACTTCTGACATGAGTGCCGAAGCCTTCATCGAAGCTTTTCGTAGATTTGCAGCTCGCAGATCCTGTCCCAAACTAATGATATCTGATAATGGTTCAAATTTTGTGGCAGGATAAGCCTGCCTACGAGAGATATGGAATCATCCAGAAGTGCAGTCTGTCCTGCAGAGACGACAATGCCACTGGAAATTTATTGCTCCCAGAGCCCCCTGGCAAGGTGGGTTCTACGAACGTATGATAGGGACTGTCAAGAAATGTTTAAGGAAGACCTTGCATCGACAGAAAATTAGTTACTCCGAACTCCAAACACTCGTCGTGGAAATTGAGGCGCGAGTCAACAATCGCCCATTAACTTACCTATCAGATGATTTTTCACTGACAGAGCCTCTGAGTCCCTCGCATTTAATACATGGAGGCCTGCTGAGCCCTCTGATACCTTTGGCAGAAGAGGACCCCGTCGACCCTTCCCATGTAACCAGGAGTGACTTAGTGGAAAGTTACCAACATCTCTCGAGAGTAATTGAAAGGTGGAATGAGGTGTGGACTCGAGAGTACCTCACAGCTCTATGAGAGTACCACTATGGAGCTTCGAGCCCCTATAATAAAGTTAAACTTAAACCAGGAGACCTAGTATTGGTTGACAGTGATGGACCAAGGTCAGAATGGCCTATAGGCAAAATTGTTGCTATCCACCCAGATCACCAAGGCATCCTGAGAGTAGTACGGGTTTTGTGCCGAGGCAACACTACCCTAAAAACATTAGAGAAGTTGGTACCTCTCGAATTACCAGAACGAGAGTGTTTATCAGAACCAGCTTCACCAACAGTTTCCGAGGACAACAATTCTGATCCACCGAGCACCCGCCCAACTAGAGCAGCTGCTCAACAATGCAAACGAAAACTACAAGCCTATTATAGCTCTGACTAAGAGCAAATAATTTCACATCCAATTGGAGTAATCATGATGATACTGTGTTGTGATGTCAAGTAACAAAACAGTTACAAGTCACAATGACCCAAAACATTCACCTCACAGTGGATTCTCAGTTACTTTAAATTGTATGCTTTAATTCTTAATTTGTTTGTGTAGGCTATCAACTATAACATTATTTCATCTAGAGTATCTATGAGTTTGCAAAACTTTAAGACTTAGTAACATAAACGTTACATGTCATAGCGACACCAGTCACAGAGTATATTGTAGGCTTTATTAGTCATTAACTTTAGATGATTCACAATTCCATGTTTCATTTAACATGAGTTTCTTTACAAGACTTAAATTCTTGTATGTCCTTGACAATTACGGGACATTCGTTATGTGTGTACTAACGTACTAACATACTAACCATAATACTAACTTCGGGATAGGTACGTCAGTACTCAACATTGCACTGCGACCCGAGTTTTCTCCCCCCGGAGTTATGTTGGAAATTTCCAACACTAATAAACTACTATTGTATTATAATAAATCCTTATCATTATATACTAACTACAGTAGTTATTAATTTCACTAATGGTAGTGTCAACATATATTAAACCATTTCATCTGCGTATTAGTGCTAGAATTCTCATGAAATCGAGTAGCATCATTGCGTCAGATAATGTCCAGTTAGACACGTTTATTACCAATGTGTTAGAGAATTGAATGTGCTTCTCTAAAATTATCAGTATTCCGTGTAATAATTACCTACGGATAATATGACTCCCGATAATCTAAAACCGAGAGTTATTAACTAAAATTGTTATCAAGTAGCAGTTTTATCTGTTACATGCGAATGCCATGGAGAAAATAAAATCTTCTCCATTTCTCGTTTAATACCATAAAACGAGAATATGATAATATTTAAGTCCCTATAATTGCAACCCAGTTCTCATTAACATATTACATCCATAATTGCGCGGAAAAGAATTATTCGTGATTAATAATTTCTGTGGTGAATGCGAGAGACGGGTTGAGGGAGGCGGAGATGCTATTGTGAGAGAGAAGGCATCCCTGGCGTGAAGCATGGCGAGACACGTGGTAGTGACTGGGGAGTTTATCGACAAGAATTACATTGATACCCGGTCAACAGTTAACAATTACTTATCCACATGTTCTATAGTGCCCGGTCAATTAATAACGCGTCAACAATTGAAGCCACGACCCGTAATTACACGTACACAGCAGTGGATGCCTGGGACTGGCTGAAGCGGTTTCGGCAGACCTCAGTATTTGATACGCTCATGTTAAGTATAACATTCTCGTTTGATGCATTATCCTAGATTTTATATTTATGAGTAGTCTGTCGTTATACAGCAAGGATACCTAATACACAACGTTAGTAGACTTACGTCAATTTCTCCGTTTTCATGAATATTTGAAATAAATCGTAGCCTAATCAAATGCTACTTAAATTTCTCTGATTTCAGCGTGTATACGAGGAGTCGACAAGTTGTTTCTCATCATTCGTGATATTTACCTCGGGTTCTTTCTTTATTGGGATCCTGTGACCACGAGGACGTATGACGAAATGGCGTTATAGAAATCGTCTTACAGCTAAGACCCCTTTTTCGTACAAATTTATCTAATATTATTATTGATTTCTATATAATTCATATAGGATTTTTACATTGAATAGATTATTGCCAGAAATAATGATCGGTAATTAATGTGTTTTGCTCTGACTGTTGCTCAGTAATTCATAATCTTTAATATTCATAATTTGAGTTATCATATCTTTAAATCTATTGTAGTTTAGATTTATTATGTTATTAACTCAACAATGAACTAGTGACGAACCACACTGGTTCCTAGATATATATGAACTTCTAGAAATACCCCCCCCCCAATGTTGGTCTTTGAGACTTTGACTTTAATTAATTAATAATACAGTCTATTCATTATTTTCCAGTGATTATTCATTTAATTAGTATCCATAGACACTGGTTCTCTAGTGTTATTCTAATGATCACTTTTATTCGTTTTCCCTCTTTTCTCAAAAGTGGGTGGTCCTTCGATTTATTAAATACAATAAGCAAATAATTGAATATATGAGTCAAGCCCCAGATATCCCACAATGGGAGGCTTATAAGCGGAAGTATCCGTCGTGGAAGTTCCCTGAGAAATATGTTACTCCCTGATTACTGTCTGTTGTGGTGTTGCTTGCACCTGGGTGCGTGATTTAGGGGTGGAGTTGCTTGTTTGTGTCTGGGTGGCGCGGGTTTGTTTTCCGGTTCCTGCGTGTTCCGCTTTTTTTGTGTGTGTTTGCTTGTGTGAGGGGTTTGCGTGTGTGAGGGGTTTGCTTGTGTGAGGGGTTTGTGTGTGTGAGGGGTTTGCTTGTGTGAGGGGTTTGCTTGTGTGAGGGGTTTGCTTGTGTGAGGGGTTTGCTTGTGTGAGGGGTTTGTGTGTGTGGTCTGGTGTGTCTCTTTCCGGTTCCTATGCCTCCAGGTGTTTGTTCTGGTGTGTCTGGTTGTGGCTGTGTCCTGTTCTTCTGTGTTTCTGTGGTGTTGGTTGTTCTGTGTGTCCGTGTCTTTTCTGTATATATTCTGTGTGGTTTTGTACTTCCTGCTCTGTGTGTCTTATGAGTGGCTGGTTGTAAAGTTGTGCTGCTGTATTTGTGTGTTTGGTGTGGTGATAGTTTACATTATGTACTTGTGTCCTTACGACCTTCTGGTCGTTTGCATGTGTCTTTTTGTACTTTTTGTTGTTTTTGTACTTTACGGTTCCCTGTGTGGTTCTGTTTTCTGGTATTAAAGTTTTGTGTTTCTTGTGCTGGCTATGTGTACTGTTCTGTTTTTTGTTATGTTTTTTGTGGCCGTATAGGGGTTTGTTGTATGCTTTGTATCATGTGTACTTCACTTTTGGTTCTTCTTGTGTGTGGGTTCCTTTCATGTTGTATTACTGTATTCAGTGTATCCTGTATGTACTCCTGTTTTTATTTTTATGTGGTTTTCTGATTGTAAATTGTGGTTTATTTTATACAAAAAAAAATAGATAATCTCACAGGCAAATAGAGTCCAACTCTTGGGACACAGGCTTTCAAAAAAATGCCTCTTCGACAGGCAGAGGAGATGGCCATCATGGGGGTTACACCAGAGTTTACGTGATCAGATAATAGCGGAATCTGTCGCCAACACAACGTTCCACTCCATCCAAGATGCTGTTGAATAGGTTCAATGCTTGTCGCCCTTTATGAGTGATAAGCGTCCTCTCGCCAACCACAGGACAAAGTGATTTTTGATGGCCATCGGTGCAAGTGGGCGCCATTGGCAGACCTATCCATCATGACCAATCCCAGGAGGGAAAGGCCTCTCTCTTTATCATAGTCGGCTGCGTACATTCCCTTCATCTCCAGGAGCAAGAGCTGCTACTTGCCCTGCTTCCAGTCCCGGTGCTCATTCCCATTTTCAAACTACAGAAGGAAAACTGGATAACTTATCTGAGGGCATAAACACCACTCAGGCCGAACTGGACAACTTGGGTATGGGCATGGCCAGTACCAAGCTCGATGATCCAGGTGGGCATCGTAGGAGGTCTATGTCAGTAGGATCCCCAACCTCTGAGAAGAAACAGCCGACCACTAGCTTTGTAGCACCAGCAGGACCTCGCAAACGTTTGACATATGGATGTAAGGAGGTGGCCATCCACAAGTCTACTGCAGAACTACACCAGAAGTAAACAAGACCGCGTGACGTGAGACTCAAGGTGATGCTAACTGACTTGTTATTTTATTACCACTTGGTGGAGGCGGCGCCATTAGGTCTCTGTGGCCTCCGTGGTCTCCGTGGTCTCCGTGGTCTCCGTGGCCTCCGTGGTCTCCGTGGCCTCCGTGGTCTCCGTGGCCTCCGTGGCCTTCGTGGTCTTAGCGTGGCCGCCCACGCTTCTCCAGCATTGTTGATGTATGTGTCGTCTTATATCTACTTATATATATATTTCGGATATGCGCATTCATAAATAAAGATTGAAAGTAAAACATATTTTTTATTCTATATAAGTTTATGTAAATGACTGGTGTGCCAAAGTATTTTCATTGAAGATATATATGTCCACTTATCAGAACTGGATCATTGGTGTAATAGAGATATGGCATCTAGGGGTAAAAGTGCCATGTTTTATTATCTCAAGAATTTGGTTTTAGGCTAATCAAAACAATAAGAGAACCAAAAGCAGCCAGCTTCCTATTCCAGTGCCTCAGTGTGGCAATACGGAGGTAAAAATGCACACTTCAGTACTGGTTCCGGGCCACCATCAAAGACCCTTGAGGAGCTCTGCAACTTGTGAAAATAAACCCAACCTTTTGTGTAATCAATCTTGCGTAATAAACTTTAAAGTAAATCAAAACTACAGTGGGTAGTAGAAGACGCGTGGGAGCCTCACAAGACTGCCTTAGGCGCCGTGATTCTCTCTCTTATTTCATGAGTAAATGTTTGAGGTGAATAAAGTGCAAATATTAAGAACTGCAAAAAATCTTGTTCCCAATAATATGTGTGTAACAATTCCTGCCAACACTTGCAAGGTCTTGACACTTTAACAGAAAATGCAAACACATGATACACAGTGGAAAAAACTGAACATTTTGGCTTCCAAGCCAAAATGAACATTTCCGAAAATCAGTATTTCAGTTTAACACGGTAGTGTGGATGACAGAAATAAATAACATATATATATATATATATATATATATATATATATATATATATATATATATATATATATATATATATATATATATATATATATATATATATATATATAATGTCGCACCTAGTAGCCAGAATGCACTTCTCGGCCTACTATGCAAGGCCCGATTTGCCTAATAAGCCAAGTTTTCCTGAATTAATATATTTTCTCTATTTTTTTTCTTATGAAATGATAAAGCTACCCATTTCATTATGTATGAGGTCAATTTTTTTTATTGGAGTTAAAATTAACGTAGATATATGACCGAACCTAAACCAACCCTACCTAACCTAACCTAACCTATGTTTATAGGTTAGGTTAGGTTAGGTAGCAGAAAAAGTTAGGTTAGGTTAGGTTAGGTAGGTTGGGTAGCCGAAAAACAATTAATTCATGAAAACTTGGCTTATTAGGCAAATCGGGCCTTACGTATTAGGCCGAGAAGTGCGTTCTGGCTACCAGGTACGACATATATATATATATGTCGTACCTAATAGCCAGAACGCACTTCTCAGCCTACTATTCAAGGCCCGATTTGCCTAATAAGCCAAGTTTTCATGAATTAATGTTTTTTCGTCTACCTAACCTACCTAACCTAACCTAACCTAGCTTTTTTGGCTACCTAACCTAACCTTACCTATAAATATAGGTTAGGTTAGGTTAGGTAGGGTTGGTTAGGTTCGGTCATATATCTACGTTAATTTTAACTCCAATAAAAAAAAATTGACCTCATACATAGAGAAAAGGGTTGCTTTATCATTTCATAAGAAAAAAATTATAGTAAATATATTAATTCAGGAAAACTTGGCTTATTAGGCAAATCGGGCCTTGAATAGTAGGCTGAGAAGTGAGTTCTGGCTACTAGGTACGAAATATATATATATATATATATATATATATATATATATATATATATATATATATATATATATATATATATATATATATATATGAAATAAGGAATATATAAATAAGGAATGAAAGCACAGTAACATGGTATATCTTTAAGGAAATCAAAGGAGCAGGAGAGTGGGGTGGACGCTTCATTCATTTGTTACTTGGGCGCGCACCTTAACCTTTGAACTTAAATTCCTCGAGGAAGATGATTATATGTGGCATTAAGTCTGGTGTCCGGGGGATCAGAGATGAGCCTGAGGTTATAACCTTATTACAGAACCAATCACTACTCTAGCAACCATTTTCTTGAGGAAATATTAACATATTAGTTAGTTCTATTGTTTATCTTCTAAAGCACACAATATTGAGGATTGCTTATACAAGAATCACCCCTATAATTTAAAGTTGTAAATCACATGTATTGCTTGTATTATACTAGAATCACCCTATAATTTGATGTATCTCACATGTATTTCTGAACAGTATTGACCATGTATAACGAACCTCTGGTGTTCAGTGAAGTAGAGGACTTACAGAAGATGAAGTATACATGAACATCTTCACAGCTTTCGATAACGTAACATACACAAGCCTGCCTAGGAATATGACAAGTTCATAGAGTAATTGGTGGCATATTAGACTGGAGGAAACAATGTGTTGTGGTTGTTGGTGATGTGATGGTGAGTGGTGTGGAGGTGGTTGTTGGTGTTGTAGTTGGTGTGGTAGTGGTTGTGGTGGAGGTGGTTGTTGGTGTGGTAGTGGTTGTGGTGGAGGTGGTTGTTGGTGTTGTAGTTGGTGTGGTAGTGGTTGTGGTGGAGGTGGTTGTCGTGGAGGTGGTTGTTGGTGTGGTAGTGGTTGTGGTGGAGGTGGTTGTTGGTGTTGTAGTTGGTGTGGTAGTGGTTGTGGTGGAGGTGGTTGTTGGTGTTGTAGTTGGTGTGGTTGTGGTTGTGGTGGAGGTGGTTGTTGGTGTTGTAGTTGGTGTGGTGGAGGTGGTTGTTGGTGTTGTAGTTGGTGTGGTGGTGGGTGTGGTGGAGGTGGTTGTGGTGGAGGTGGTTGTTGGTGTGGTAGTGGTTGTGGTGGAGGTGGTTGTTGGTGTGGTAGTGGTTGTGGTGGAGGTGGTTGTTGGTGTTGTAGTTGGTGTGGTGGAGGTGGTTGTTGGTGTTGTAGTTGGTGTGGTAGTGGTTGTGGTGGAGGTGGTTGTTGGTGTTGTAGTTGGTGTGGTGGTGGTTGTGGTGGAGGTGGTTGTTGGTGTTGTAGTTGGTGTGGTGGTGGTTGTGGTGGAGGTGGTTGTTGGTGTTGTAGTTGGTGTGGTGGTGGTTGTGGTGGAGGTGGTTGTTGGTGTTGTAGTTGGTGTGGTAGTGGTTGTGGTGGAGGTGGTTGTGGTGGAGGTGGTTGTTGGTGTGGTAGTGGTTGTGGTGGAGGTGGTTGTTGGTGTGGTAGTGGTTGTGGTGGAGGTGGTTGTTGGTGTGGTAGTGGTTGTGGTGGAGGTGGTTGTTGGTGTTGTAGTTGGTGTGGTAGTGGTTGTGGTGGAGGTGGTTGTTGGTGTTGTAGTTGGTGTGGTGGAGGTGGTTGTGGTGGAGGTGGTTGTTGGTGTGGTAGTTGGTGTGGTGGAGGTAGTTGTTGGTGTGGTGGTGGTTGTGGTGGAGGTGGTTGTTGGTGTGGTGGAGGTGGTTGTCGTGGAGGTGGTTGTTGGTGTGGTAGTGGTTGTGGTGGAGGTGGTTGTTGGTGTGGTAGTGGTTGTGGTGGAGGTGGTTGTTGGTGTGGTAGTGGTTGTGGTGGAGGTGGTTGTTGGTGTTGTAGTTGGTGTGGTGGAGGTGGTTGTTGGTGTTGTAGTTGGTGTGGTAGTGGTTGTGGTGGAGGAGGTTGTTGGTGTTGTAGTTGGTGTGGTTGTGGTTGTGGTGGAGGTGGTTGTTGGTGTTGTAGTTGGTGTGGTGGAGGTGGTTGTTGGTGTGGTAGTTGGTGTGGTGGAGGTGATTAATGATGTTGTAGTTGGTGTGGTAAAGGTGGTTGTTAGTGTTGTAGTTGGTGTGGTTGTGGTTGTGGTGGAGGTGGTTGTTGGTGTTGTAGTTGGTGTGGTGGAGGTGGTTGTTGGTGTTGTAGTTGGTGTGGTAGTGGTTGTGGTGGAGGTGGTTGTGGTGGAGGTGGTTGTTGGTGTGGTAGTGGTTGTGGTGGAGGTGGTTGTTGGTGTGGTAGTGGTTGTGGTGGAGGTGGTTGTTGGTGTGGTAGTGGTTGTGGTGGAGGTGGTTGTTGGTGTTGTAGTTGGTGTGGTAGTGGTTGTGGTGGAGGTGGTTGTTGGTGTTGTAGTTGGTGTGGTGGTGGTTGTGGTGGAGGTGGTTGTTGGTGTTGTAGTTGGTGTGGTGGTGGTTGTGGTGGAGGTGGTTGTTGGTGTTGTAGTTGGTGTGGTGGTGGTTGTGGTGGAGGTGGTTGTTGGTGTTGTAGTTGGTGTGGTGGTGGTTGTGGTGGAGGTGGTTGTTGGTGTTGTAGTTGGTGTGGTAGTGGTTGTGGTGGAGGTGGTTGTTGGTGTTGTAGTTGGTGTGGTTGTGGTTGTGGTGGAGGTGGTTGTTGGTGTTGTAGTTGGTGTGGTGGAGGTGGTTGTTGGTGTTGTAGTTGGTGTGGTAGTGGTTGTGGTGGAGGTGGTTGTGGTGGAGGTGGTTGTTGGTGTGGTAGTGGTTGTGGTGGAGGTGGTTGTTGGTGTGGTAGTGGTTGTGGTGGAGGTGGTTGTTGGTGTGGTAGTGGTTGTGGTGGAGGTGGTTGTTGGTGTTGTAGTTGGTGTGGTAGTGGTTGTGGTGGAGGTGGTTGTTGGTGTGGTAGTGGTTGTGGTGGAGGTGGTTGTTGGTGTTGTAGTTGGTGTGGTAGTGGTTGTGGTGGAGGTGATTAATGATGTTGTAGTTGGTGTGGTGGAGGTGGTTGTTAGTGTTGTAGTTGGTGTGGTAGTGGTTGTGGTGGAGGTGGTTGTTAGTGTTGTAGTTGGTGTGGTAGTGGTTGTGGTGGAGGTGATAAATGATGTTGTAGTTGGTGTTGTGGACGTAGTTGGCTGTTCCCCCTCCTCGTCACGCTACTGATCTTACTCAGGATCAAACAACAACAGTTGTCTAACTCCCGTGTACTTATTTACTGCTAGGTGAAGAGAGGCATCAGGTGGAGGAAAACGTTGCCCGGTCGTTTATGATAGGAGCTGTGAGAATTGTGGTCGAAGATATGGAGTAGATTTTTATAGATTGGTATACGATAGATAATGTGGGTGATTGGTATACGATAGATAATGTGTGTTCGCTAGTCTCCGCGAGCAAACATTCTATTTAGAATGTCATTGAAAAAACTGGTGTTGTTGTATTGGTGGTGATGGTTGACGGCGTTGTGGTTGTGGTAGTGGTTGTGGTTGTGGTTGTGGCGAGTGCGGGGCTTGGTGCAGCAGGCACAGCCTGGTGAACACGCTGATCTACTAAACCTTCTACATTTAATGGCTGCTGTGCACAGTGGTAAACAATCTGTTATGCATTTTCTCCTACTGGCTTTGAAATGGCATTGTGTGCTGGTTGGTGGTGGTGTGGTGGTTGGTGGTGGTGTGGTGGTTGGTGGTGGTGTGGTAGTTGGTGGTGGTGTGGTGGTTGGTGGTGGTGTGGTGGTTGGTGGTGGTGTGGTGGTTGGTTGTGGTGTGGTAGTTGGTGGTGGTGTGGTAGTTGTTGGTGGTGTGGTGGTTGGTTGTGGTGTGGTGGTTGGTGGTGGTGTGGTGGTTGGTGGTGGTGTGGTAGTTGTTGGTGGTGTGGTGGTTGGTTGTGGTGTGGTAGTTCGTGGTGGTGTGGGGGTTGGTGGTGGTGTGGAGGTTGGTGGTGGTGTGGTAGTTGGTGGTGATGTGGTGGTTGGTGTTGGTGTGGTAGCTGGTGGGTTTGTGGTACCTGGATGTGTTGGAGTACCAGGATGTGTTGGGGTACCTGGATGTGTTGGGGTACCTGGAAGTGTTGGAGTACCTGGATGTGTTGGAGTACCTGGAGGTGTTGGGGTACCTGGATGTGTTGGGGTACCTGGATGTGTTGGAGTACCAGGATGTGTTTGGGTACCTGGATGTGTTGGAGTACCAGGATTTGTTGGAGTACCAGGATGTGTTGGGGTACCTGGATGTGTTGGAGTACCTGGATGTGTTGGAGTACCTGGATGTGTTGGAGTACCTGGATGTGTTGGGGTACCTGGATGTGTTGGAGTACCAGGATGTGTGGGGGTACCTGTATGTGTTGGAGTACCTGGATGTGTTGGGGTACCTGGATGTGTTGGAGTACCTGGATGTGTTGGGGTACCTGGATGTGTTGGAGTACCTGGATGTGTTGGAGTACCTGGAAGTGTTGGAGTACCTGGATGTGTTGGGGTACCTGGATGTGTTGGGGTACCTGGATGTGTTGGAGTACCTGGATGTGTTGGAGTACCTGGATGTGTTGGGGTACCTGGATGTGTTGGAGTACCAGGATGTGTTGGAGTACCTGGATGTGTTGGAGTACCTGGATGTGTTGGAGTACCTGGATGTGTTGGGGTACCTGGATGTGTTGGGGTACCTGGATGTGTGGGGGTACCTGTATGTGTTGGAGTACCTGGATGTGTTGGGGTACCTGGATGTGTGGGGGTACCTGGATGTGTTGGGGTACCTGGATGTGTTGGAGTACCAGGATGTGTTGGAGTACCTGGATGTGTTGGAGTACCTGGATGTGTTGGGGTACCTGGATGTGTTGGAGTACCAGGATGTGTTGGAGTACCTGGATGTGTTGGAGTACCTGGATGTGTTGGGGTACCTGGATGTGTTGGAGTACCTGGATGTGTTGGAGTACCAGGATGTGTTGGAGTACCAGGATGTGTTGGAGTACCTGGATGTGTTGGGGTACCTGGATGTGTGGGGGTACCTGGATGTGTTGGGGTACCTGGATGTGTTAGGGTACCTGGATGTGTTGGAGTACCTGGATGTGTTGGGGTACCTGTATGTGTTGGGGTACCTGGATGTGTTGGAGTACCTGGATGTGTTGGGGTACCTGGATGTGTTGGAGTACCTGGATGTGTTGGAGTACCTGGATGTGTTGGAGTACCTGGATGTGTTAGAGTACCTGGATGTGTTGGAGTACCTGGATGTGTTGGAGGACCAGGATGTGTTGGAGTACCTGGATGTGTTGGAGTACCAGGATGTGTGGGGGTACCTGGATGTGTTGGAGTACCTGGATGTGTTTGAGTACCTGGATGTGTTGGAGTACCTGGATGTGTTGGGGTACCAGGATGTGTGGTGGTACCTGGATGTGTTGAAGTACCAGGATGTGTTGGAGTACCTGGATGTGTTGGAGTAGCAGGATGTGTTGGAGTACCTGGATGTGTTGGAGTACCAGGATGTGTTGGAGTACCTGGATGTGTTGGGGTACCTGGATGTGTTGGGGTACCTGGATGTGTTGGAGTACCAGGATGTGTTGGGGTACCTGGATGTGTGTGGGTACCTGGATGTGATGGGGTACCTGGATGTGTTGGAGTACCTGGATGTGTTGGAGTACCTGGATGTGTTGGAGTACCTGGATGTGTTGGGGTACCTGGATGTGTGGGGGTACCTGGATGTGTTGGGGTACCTGGATGTGTTGGGGTACCTGGATGTGTTGGAGTACCTGGATGTGTTGGGGTACCTGGATGTGTGGGGGTACCTGGATGTGTTGGGGTACCTGGATGTGTTGGAGTACCTGGATGTGTTGGAGTACCTGGATGTGTTGGGGTACCTGGATGTGTGGGGGTACCTGGATGTGTTGGGGTACCTGGATGTGTTGGGGTACCTGGATGTGTTGTACCTGGATGTGTTGGAGTACCAGGATGTGTTGGGGTACCTGGATGTGTTGGGGTACCTGGATGTGTTGGGGTACCTGGATGTGTTGGGGTACCTGGATGTGTTGGGGTACCTGGATGTGTGGGGGTACCTGGATGTGTTGGGGTACCTGGATGTGTTGGAGTACCAGGATGTGTTGGAGTACCTGGAAGTGTTGGAGTACCTGGATGTGTGGGGGTACCTGGATGTGTTGGGGTACCTGGATGTGTTGGAGTACCAGGATGTGTTGGAGTACCTGGATGTGTTGGAGTACCTGGATGTGTTGGGGTACCTGGATGTGTTGGAGTACCTGGATGTGTTGGAGTACCAGGATGTGTTGGGGTACCTGGATGTGTTGGGGTACCTGGATGTGTTGGGGTACCTGGATGTGTTGGGGTACCTGGATGTGTTGGAGTACCAGGATGTGTTGGAGTACCTGGAAGTGTTGGAGTACCTGGATGTGTTGGAGTACCTGGATGTGTTGGGGTACCTGGATGTGTTGGAGTACCAGGATGTGTTGGAGTACCTGGAAGTGTTGGAGTACCTGGATGTGTTGGGGTACCTGGATGTATTGGGGTACCTGGATGTGTTGGAGTACCAGGATGTGTTGGAGTACCTGGATGTGTGGGGGTACCTGGATGTGTTGGGGTACCTGGATGTGTTGGAGTTCCAGGATGTGTTGGAGTACCTGGATGTGTTGGAGTACCTGGATGTGTTGGAGTACCTGGATGTGTTGGAGTACCAGGAGGTGTTGGAGTACCTGGATGTGTTGGGGTACCAGGATGTGTTGGTCGTGTGGTAGATGCCTTAGTGGAGGTTGCTTGTGGTGTGGTCGTAGTGTTTGTTTTTTGAGTGCTCTTTGTGGCAGCTGGTGTTGTAGTGGTCGTCTTGGTAGTTGGTTGTTTATGGGTAGTCTTGGTAGTTGGTTGTTTATGGGTCGTCTTGGTAGTTGGTTGTTTATGGGTCGTCTTGGTAGTTGGTTGTTTATGGGTCGTTCTTGTAGTTGGTTGTTTATGGGTCGTCTTGGTAGTTGGTTGTTTATGGGTTGTCTTGGTAGTTGGTTGTTTATGGGTCGTCTTGGTAGTTGGTTGTTTATGGGTCGTCTTGGTAGTTGGTTGTTTATGGGTCGTCTTGGTAGTTGGTTGTTTATGGGTCGTCTTGGTAGTTGGTTGTTTATGAGTCGTCTTGGTAGTTGGTTGTTTATGGGTCGTCTTGGTAGTTGGTTGTTTATGGGTCGTCTTGGTAGTTGGATGTTTATGGGTCGTCTTGGTAGTTGGTTGTTTATGGGTCGTCTTGGTAGTTGGTTGTTTATGGGTCGTCTTGGTAGTTGGTTGTTTATGGGTCGTCTTGGTAGTTGGTTGTTTATGGGTCGCCTTGGTAGTTGGTTGTTTATGGGTCGTCTTGGTAGTTGGTTGTTTATGGGTCGTCTTGGTAGTTGGTTGTTTATGGGTCGTCTTGGTAGTTGGTTGTTTATGGGTCGTCTTGGTAGTTGGTTGTTTATGGGTCGCCTTGGTAGTTGGTTGTTTATGGGTCGTCTTGGTAGTTGGTTGTTTATGGGTCGTCTTGGTAGTTGGTTGTTTATGGGTCGTCTTGGTAGTTGGTTGTTTATGGGTCGTCGTGGTAGTTGGTTGTTTAGTGGTAGTTTTTCTATTAAAAGTCGTGTTGGTTGAAGGATTCTTGGTTGTGTTTGATATGATTGTTGACGTTCGTCGTCTTGAAGATGTTGATGACCCTGCAGTTGTTGATGACCCTGCAGTTGTTGATGACCCTGCAGTTGTTGATGACCCTGCAGTTGTTGATGACCCTGCAGTTGTTGATGACCCTGCAGTTGTTGATGACCCTGCAGTTGTTGATGACCCTGCAGATGTTGATGACCCTGAAGTTGTTGATGACCCTGAAGTTGTTGATGACCCTGAAGTTGTTGATGAATCTGAAGATGTTGATGACCCTGAAGTTGTTGATGACCCTGAAGTTGTTGATGACTCTGAAGATGTTGATGACCCTGAAGTTGTCGATGACCCTGAAGTTGTTGATGACCCTGAAGTTGTTGATAACCCTGACGTTGTTGATGACTCTGAAGATGTTGATGACCCTGAAGGTGTTGATGGTCTTGGAGTTTTTCCTGTAGAAAGAAACGATTGATGATCATCAGGATAAAATATATATATATATATATATATATATATATATATATATATATATATATATATATATATATATATATAATGTGTGTGTGTGTGTGTGTGTGTGTGTGTGTATCACGAAAATAAACACGTGATTAAAAATGTGACAGTGTCAGACCACGGAGGAATATTGAAACAGGAATTTCCTTAAGTACTTTCGTATATTAATACATCTTCAGAAGGAGACTCCTTCTGAAGATGTATTACTATACGAATATTGTGACGGTGTTCCCCCCTTATAATTCTCCCGCGCCTGCAGTAAGAGTCATGTCTACTTTTCCCAAGCGTTCTCTACGTAGCAGGCTTCAATTTGATATATGGGAGAGAGTGGAGTGTTCTCGGAGAGCCGAGAAATTTGTGAAATAGTAATATTTTGGCCTGTGGTATAGGCCCTTTAGGAAGCCAAGATGGCGCTTGCCTTCCTGATTTCCCGCCAAAACCGTGTGACGTCAGTGGCACCGGATTGGTCACCGACAGCAATGTGGCACCGGGAGCCAATGAGAACTTCCCGTGGCGAAAGTGACGTCACGAAGGAAGGGGGTCCAGGCCGCGCGCCGAGCTGGCGCCAGCAGTCAGACACGACACGTCAAAGAGGTCGGAAGTGCGACGATTGGTCCTGTCAGATTGACAGTTGTTTCCCACTCCCGTGGATTTACGCGTCACCTGAAGTCTGCCAGTACTCTGTGAGGTCTTCCCTAGTTCATGTGTTGAACCAGAGAGGGAATCGACGGTTATTTGAGCAACAAGTGCTCCAGTGAGGTACTGTTCAAGAAGAAGCAGTGAAGCCGTGCAGTGACGTATGTGACGTCTGTGGCAGTTCACCAGTTCGTGACAGCGTAGTGGCTGACAGAGCCACTGGGTAGCTGAGGAAGGAGAGGACTATTTGGGAATCCGGACGACTGCAGCTGAGACGTAGGCGGCAGCCGTTGTTGGGAGAAGACGACGGCCAGGAGACCGACTCCAACCCTTCAAGAAGTCAAGAAGGAGGACAGACCTGCAGTGAAGAGGGCACGGAGACGACGCGCTAAACGGTGGGACGACGAGAGGTTCCGGTAGGACACGACGACGTGTCGTGTGGGTGCGTTCCCGACACGAGGACCAGGAGCTACATCTCGACTCTCATCGGAGGATAGGTTGAAGTAGGTGTTTCTAGTTCCCTCCCCATTCCCCTTTAGTTAGCTATAATATTCGGCTATATTATCTAGCCTGAGGATTTTATATGTCGTGAGCAAGTCTCACCCATGTCACAATAAAGCACCAGTGTGCAGGATAGTACTATCAAGAGTACTTATAATTTTCATGTTTATTATTGGTGTGTACAGGCACCCAGAACAAGTGATAAATTTACTGTGTTTTGTATATCTTTCTAGAGACTTTAAAGTGAACGTATAGTGATAAATAATATATAATATTATGCCAGTATTTGGAGGTTAGGCTACGTGCCCAGAAACTATTTATTTTCCATGTATTGATATTTGATTTATATACAATATATGTATGTCTATGTTCATTCAGTGATTAATCATTTGTGAGTACAGTAAATTATTGCGTTATCGCCCACGAGAGAAAGTACTGAAAACTCCAGTGTTAATACTTCATAATATGTCATTGAATGAAGGGCAGTGAAAGCCATTACAGTGAGTCATTGTAGCATTGATTGTAGAAAAGACTGTTTGAGCCCGAGTACAGTGTAACTAAGTAATACGGTCTATTTGTGCCAATATCGAGTGTGAAAGTTTCTAGTAATATTGGAGAATTTAAAGAAACAGCGCGCGTGAATCTGAAAACAAGCAATAAGCTTTCGCGCGGGGGCCAGGCGATCAGCTGTTCTTGACACTTGACGAGGAGGGGAGGTGTTGCCACCTAGTGAGTGCATACTATTCGTGGGAACTACCGGCCGCTGCCAGGATCAGTTGATTTATTTATTATTGTTTGGCCTTGTGACATCTTTCATACATTTTAAGTAAAATACAAAATCACCATTGTGTTTTTATCATCTCCTCCATTGATCTTGTGGCTATATTATATTGAAAGCATAGAGTGATAACAGTAAGTACCTGCCTGACTCCTGATCTTTTGAGTGTGACCTTGCCAAGGCTACCACTAATTCCACCAGTCCACTGAGGTGTTACTGGCCACCTAAAACACCAGTTGGCGACCTTGTGGTTAACCGTAGAGCCCGATTGTTGGGGAGGGCACATGACAGTCAAGTGAACGAGTCGTGTTCCCACTCCTTCTCAATCAGAGGCCGTTGAGATTGACTGGGAGACTCTCCTGGCGTGCAGTGGCGCCGTGAGGATCGAGTGAAGACCCGCAGGGCTACGGTGAGTGACCTTGAGCATAACTATTGCTCACCCCAGAGTAAGAATAGAGTAGTGAAACCCCAACATTGGCGACCTTGCCAAGATATCGATCGAAGTAAAGGTTGCAGTGGTGGTACTTGGCAGTGGTGTTAGAGATCAGGTGCAGGTTATCACTCATAGCACAAGATGGAGGATGATAAAGTAGCAAGGTTTATTGACTCTAGAGACGAACAGGTGCTGGAAGAGTGCACCAAGGCACAGTTACAGGCAATAGCGGATCATTTCGGAATAAAGCTGAAATCTGCCAGAATGGCAGAAAGAAGACTAGAGATAATGGCTCAGCTCAGGGCTCGAGACGAAGCTTTGGGGGAGGAACGGCCCCAGACACCTGCCAGTGTGGGTGAACACCTGAGTATTGGTGGAAGCAGCAGGGGATCCAGCGGCAGCAGGCACAGCATTAAGCTGGAAATAATGAAGCTGCAGCTGGAAGCACAGCAGCGTTGAAGAGCGAGAAGCAGCAGACAGCGCAAAGCAGAGCGAGAGAAGAAGCACAGCAGCGCAAAGAAGAGCGAGAAGCACAGCAGCGCAGAAGAAGAGCGAGAAGCAGAAGCACAGCAGCGCAAGAAGAGCGAGAAGCAGAAGCAGCGCAGAGAAGCAAGAGCGAGAAGCACAGCAGCGCAGAGAAGAGCGAGAAGTTGGGCTGAGACAACTGGAAATAGAAGCCAACAAGGAGGTGGAGCTGAAGCGAGCTGAACTAGGACTAGGTGTACCTGCTCCGCCGCCACAGGAAGACCGACGAGTGAGGGAACGAGACCTGCCGGTCTATGTGCCTAGTGAAGCCGAAAGTTTCTTCGATCACTTTGAGAGTGATCGGCTGCTCTGAAGAGGTGGCCGAGGGCGGAGTGGGCGGAGTTAGTTCAAGGGACGCTCACAGGTGAAGCTCGCAAGGCCTTCACTATGCTCGACTTCCAAGAATGCACCAACTACGATGCGGTAAAACGAGCTGTGCTCCGTTCCTTCAAGCTCACGCCGGAATGTTACCGGAAGAGGTTTAGAGAATGTACCCGGTCACCAGGAAAATCGTATGCGGAGACGGCGAGGGACATGGAAAGAAAGTTCCTTAAGTGGCTGGACTCTGAAGAAGCGAGGTCGGTCGAAGAGGTCAAGGAACTAATGGTCATGGAAAAGTTTATGTCCGTGCTCTCTCCTGAGATCAGGATGAGGGTAAAGGAGGCGGACATAAAGAACCTAAGGACCGCAGCCGACCGAGCCGACATGTTAGAGGAAGCACTACGCCCGAGCCGAGAGGGACAGCACCGATCACCCGCGTACTCCGGAAGCAGTAGGAATTATAGGAGGACGGATGGATGGAGGACAGAAGCGAGTTCTCCCAAGTCCCACCGCTCGAGATGGGACGACAGAGGAACAAAAGGTGCTGTAGAGCCGATAGAGGAGAACCAAGCTGAAAGCTCGGGAACTGTTACTGCAACGAAGGAAACGACAAGTGAGGCGAGAAGGACACAGGGAGCGACGGCCTCTGAAGGCAGTGCTAAGGCGAGCGGTGGCGGATGGTCTCCGCCAAGAGTCCGCTGCTACAACTGCGGAAAAATCGGACACGTCGCGCGGGAATGGAGACGCTTTAAGCAGCGGGGACACGTTGCTTTAGTGATGTTCGAGGACCAGAGGGCCGAGAGAGTGCGGGATGAACCCGTGCTGAATGGGGAGAAGAAAGTTCACCCATTCGTGTGTCAAGGAACCGTAAGGATGGGGGTCGCAGACCCCATCCCCGTGAAGATGCTAAGAGACACCGGGGCTGACTTTACCCTGGTAAGTGAAACCCTGTTCCCCGAGGGTTACAAGAGTACCAGTGTGGGGGTGGCAAGTGTGACCACTGTGGGAGGCCCAGTGAGGATGCCCCTACACCAGGTAACTTTGGATTCCGATTATGGCTGCCAGACCCTTGTGGTGGGAGTCTGTACATCAATGCCCAAGATGGAGGCACAGGTCATCTTGGGGAATGACGCGTGTGGAGGATATGTCCTTCCGCATCTCGTGAAGGGCGAAGAGTGCCTAGAACAATACAAGGAGACAGGCGGAGAGTTGAACGCCTGTGGGGACGAGAAGGGAATCGCACCGGTGGCGATCCCAGTTTGTGCTGTGAGGCCGAGACAGCGCGAAGAACCAGGAGGTTGTGGATCTGATGGGGCTGAGGAGACGACTGACAGCCTGGGAACAGATCACCTCTGCGTAGGACCCAGAGAACGAGCGGAGGGCGAGAGTAGCCCGAATGGTGAGTTGCAGGTGACCCTCACCAGTTCTTTAGGGGTAGACCGCACTCGTCTCGGAGAGTTGCAGCAGGAGGAGTTCCCCGAATTGGTTAGTGAGGCCGAAGGAGGACGTGTGGGTCCTGAGAAGGCTTACTTTCCATTTATCTATATTATATATGCCATGCTATCTATGATGAGGGAACGATGGACACCAGGAGCGACCGTGGGAACGGTGAATGAATATGTCCAGAAGTTCAAAGAACGTCTCACTCGAGCGAAGGAACTGGCTGGAAAACACCTGAAGGAGGCGCAGCGTAAGATGTCGGAGTGGTACGACAGGAGAGCTGCGCAGAGGGATTCTCAGGTCGG